AATACATTGCTTTCAGGAAATATTATAAAAATGAGAGACATACACAAAGATAAAATAAAGGGCAGGAGTAGAACTTATTATGTAAAAAAAGCAGGAATAGTAATCATGATCTCAAAATCAAAGTTAAAATAGATTTAATCAAAAATGAAAAACTGAGATAGATAGATACATATGTGTCAGCAAAATTTTTCAATTTTGTTTCAGACCATTTAAAATACCTAGACAGTATAAAGTATTTTAGTATATACTTGCCAAAACAGACACAGGAACTATGTTAACATAAATATAAAACATTTTTTATACAAATAAAATCAGATCTAAATAATTGAATTAATATTTGTTGTTCATGAGTAGGTAAAGTCAATATAATTTTAAATGACAATTTTACCTAACTAATCTATTTATTCAATGTTATCCCAATTAAATTACTAAAAAAAATATTTTATTGAATTAGAAAAAATAATAACAAAGTTCATTCAGAATAGCAAAAGGTCAGGAACTTCAAAGAAACCAGGAAACAAGATGTAAAGGAAGTAGCTTCAGCAGTATCAGACCTTAAACTATATTATAAGGGAGAGGGGAGGGGAGGGGAAGTATAAAAAAAAATTTCAATTACTTTAAATTGAAATGTTCTTGTATAAATAAAACCTATGTTGCCAAGAATAAAAGGAATGTAGAAAATTGAGGGGAAGTTTTCATAGACAAATCTCTCAGATAGGATGTAACTGGGTTAGAATATTGCTGTGGTGTAGGAAATGATGAGCTGGTTGATTTAGAAAAATATGGAAAGACCTGGACTTATGAAGGAAGATGCTTCCCACCTTCAGAGAAAAAGATGACAGGTAGAAATAAGCATAGTACTATCTTACAGATATGTATATAAGCATATATATGTGTATATATGTCTATATGTATAGATATCTATGTATATGTGTTTATATCCATGCTTCATTGTAGCCTTCTCTGGGGAAGAGGAGGAAGGAGGGGGAAAAATAAAGTAAAAAGTGCACAGCAGAGAACAAAAGAAAACCAACAAAAGCAAAGAAAGCAGCTTTGAAAATAATGTGTAGTATTTATTATATAGGTTTTCTTGAAATGGAAAATGTATTGTTTTACGTTGAATCCTCTCTTATGGTCTGCTGTGTATATGGCAATGTTTTAGTTTTTTTTTTCCCTTTTCTCATTTTGTATTTGTTTAAAATAAAAATAATTTACAAAAAAGAAAGAAAGAAAACTTTGCAGATATGAGATTTAGACGCAGAAAAGGGAAGTGACTTGTTGAAGGTAACACAAGTTAGACACAAGAAGTTAGAGTAGGAATGATGGGGTGGAAAGAGCTGAAGAGTTGGAGGATGGGTTGAACTAGCTTGGCTAGATAAATCTGATTCGTCTAATCGCTGTTGATTTGTGCTCTACCTTATTCGTAAATGGGGATGAGGGTGGGGCTGGGTAGTGGAGTAAGGAGGTGTTGGAATACTGAGACCCAGAAAGACCCAGGGTTAGAATCTTGATTCCCCAGGATGCCAAGCTGGGGGCTGAGAAAGTTAAGAAAGAATCTTAAGGTTTTGATTTATAGATTTTGCATAAACTTCCCAAAAGGCAGAACTATTTTGAATCTGGAGTTTTCCTTCAGTCCTTCAGGCTTAAAAAAAAAAACAAAAAAAAACAAAAAAGAAAAACAAAAAAAAAACTCAAAGGACTGTTTAGCTGTGTTGGACAAGACTGGGCGGCAGGGACTCCTCCTTTCCCACGTGAAGGGAAAGGTCTCTGCAGGGGTGGAGTCAGGGCTAGTGACTAGTGAAAAGAAACTGTCCAGTGAGAGGAGAAGAGGTGTGGCTGACCTTGGGCAGGCATTTCCACCTTCCAAAGGTGGGGCCAGAGAAGGGAGGAAGAACTATTTCTTTCCTTTTGGGTTCACTCCCTATTTCAAACCTATTGCTAAACAAAAGGAAAAAATGCTTATCAAAAGGAAACATACATTTTAAGACTTCATTTGGTTGTTTAGTCTTGAAATCCTCCTCCCCAAAGGTCTCATTCAGCTACCAGGACACAGTGGCTTTTCAAGAGGGCCTACAAAAGATGCTTCCAGGGGAAGTTTCCAGAATTTGAAAAATCCCTTCATTTTACAATCCAAGAAACTAAAGCTCAGGGCAGTAATTGCTCCCCTAATTTAATTATGCTGCTTCTAAATAACTGTCTCCTCTACTCTTTCAATCTGTTCCCTGTGGGTTCCCCTAGTAGGTAGCTAGAATGCACTAATATAATAGCTGGTATATTGTAATACCAAATTCTCAAACATAAGCCAGACAAAAAGTTCCCCTTCTCTGAGGGTGGCTGACCCAACAGCATAGAGTCTAGAATTCTTTGTGCCAAGCAGCCATGCATGGGCTCCATACTTAATGTCATATTCTATGATTACTGATACCCTACAAAACTATCTATTACTTAAATGGGTTATAGGATGCATAATGTCACCATTTGCCACCATATTTTACAACCAAAGTGATTTTCCTAAAATATGGATGATACCATGTCACTGCCACCACCCTACACTCGTTAAATTCCAATGGCTCCCTATTACTTCCAAAATCAAATATAAAATGATCTGTTTGGCATTTAAAGTCCCTCACAGCCTGGGCCCTTCCTCCCTTCTCAGTCTTCTTATATTACACTGACTTTCTGGATGTTTCTTGCACATGGCACTCCATCTTTCAACTCTGTGCCTTTTAAGTGATACCTGGAATGTCCCTCCCTCCTCCCCTCTATGTCCTGGCTTCTTTCAAGACTGCTCAAATGCTACCTTCTGCAGGGAGGCTTTTTCCTCCTCCCTCTACTACTTTGAGATGGCCTGCCTTTTCCTCTGCATACATCCTGTGTAGTTGTTTCCATGTTAGACTATATTAGACTGTGAATTCCCAGAGGACATGAGCCATGTTTTCATCTTTCTTTGTATCCCCAACACTAGTGAGCAGTATCTGGCACATAATAATGGCTTTATAAAATGTTTGCTGACTGGCCACCAGCTTTCCTACAAACACAACAGAAAAGTGACTCATAGAACCAGCAGATCTCTTCAGCCAGCCTTCATAACCTGGCAGACAAATAATTCAGACCAGCCACCTTGTCCAAAGGCCCACATCTGCCAGGGAATTGCATGCCTCTTTAGACCTTAAGGCTAAAACCAGGTGTCATGTGAGAAGAAATGCATTTCCCAGCAAGTTCAGACACCTAATCCACTAACATCTTAGAGAGAATGTGTTGTAAGATTTAAGATTTCAGGTTGCAAAAAACCTTAGAAATGATGGAGTCCAGTTCCGTCATTTTATAGATAAGGAAACTGAGTCTCAGAGAGTCTCAGAGAGAAGTGACTTACCCAAGGTCACACAATGAGTAAGTATCAGGGCCAGAATTTAAAGTGAGGTTCTCTGACTCTGAATCAGGACCCCTGTTCGGTAAGACCACAACCACATCCTTTTCAAGTTATACCTGAGGCCTGAAGGAACAGGGCAGAGAATAGGAACCTTGGAGAAGCTTCAGGGTTACCAGGAGGGAAAATGAAAGGGGAAGTGAGAAGGGACCTAAGACAAATCCACAAATTAGGGCTCTGATAACAGCATGGAGGCCTCCTGGGGGGAGGGGAAGACCAGGGAGCTTGCTGGAAGGTAGCTGTGCCCTAGGGACCCAGGGTGGGGCTGAGATGGGAAAACAGACTTCAGGATGAGTTGCCAAGTTTCTGCAGGTGTGTAGATTTCACAAAGGATATGTAAATAGATCCCATTAAAATATGCTTTGATTTTTATTCAAGTTTTTCATTAATTTTAGTAGCATCTTGGCTTGTCTTTCATAACCTGTCTTACCCACCATCACATCCGTGTCAGATCAGTGTAAAATTGGGGCTACATTCTTATCAAAAAATTTTCTGACTTTGCCTTTGCAAGCATCAGCGTTGAGAAAGAAAGACAGTTACCTTCTTCATTTGTACATTGGAAGGAATGAGTTGATTTCCAAATCCCTAAAATTCTTGATGGAATTGCATGGAGAAGAGGATTAAGTTGCCTTCTTCCTAAGGAACGTAGAAAAGAGTCGTTATCTTGCTAAGAACAATTAAACACACCTGGAGACCACAGGGAGCTAGAGAGACCTTCCACAGACCTGCATCCCATGACACTCCCCCTTTACACACACACACACACACACACACACACACACACACTTCAGTTTGAACCTCTTCTTGAAAATTACTATAATATAATCACAGGCATCTACATCAGGAAACTGTTAGGGGGTGAGAACAGCTTATTATGTGGTCTGATCTCAAAAGATGAAATGAAAAGCTTATCTGTGAGTTCAACATGTAACTGTCTTTACGACCTAAGCAAACACAGAGAGCTGCCTTAGAGCACTCTCAATTTTCATATTCTCAGAGCTTCAGTAGCTAAACTCCCCTTTACTTTGTCTTGAGAATGGGCCCTTTTTCAATTGATTTCTATTAGGCTCTAGGCAAGTCATTCAAATCCTTGGGTTTCCTCTGAGGAAGTTCAATCTATGAAGGAGAGCATTTAAAAAACACTTACCATGTGTTGGGTACTGTGCTAAGACTGGGGATAGATATAAAAGCAAACAAGGCATTCCCTACCCTCCTGAAGATTACAATCTAATGGGAGAAGACAAGACACAAAGGAAAGGGAGGAAGGCTGTCCACTGAAGCCATAGTAAGGAGACAGAAAGAGTGGCAGGGCAGCCTGGTTCCCATATGGATGAAGCAAAAGTCTTACCTGTTAGGGTCAAGGTAGCAGGACAACGGAACTGGCAATAGAGGCTCTCAAAAGCTAGATTCAGCTCTGGGGTTTGGATGCACGTGGGTAAAGGGCCAGAACAGTTCTACAATAAACAAACATTCAGCTCGTCACCTGAAGTCAATGAGATGTTGTGTTTAAGTCTGCCATCGGGCATCAAGCCATTCTCCTGCCCCTTCTCCACCATGCCTCTTGTGTTTCCAGTGCTAATCGGCGTGGGAGTTGAAACTTTCCTCCAAGGACAATTCAAAAGCCTGGCTTTCTATCTTCTGTAAGTAACACTTCTTTTTTGTCAATAATAAATCGTTGTTCTCTGTGTAGAACTTCATATATACAGATGGCCTATCGATGGGACCAGAAAGTCAAATGAGATAATATTTGTAAAGTGTTTAGCACAGTGCCTGGTACACAGTAGGCACTTAATAAATGTTTATTCCATTTATCTCCTCCCCCCACCCCAGTCAGGTCCCTAGCCGCCTTATAAAGGAATATGACCTTATCAAAGGATTTCAAGGCTCTTCTACTCTAGCCAACTCTTTTGAACAGGGCTGTATTCAAACCATTCCAGGAATGTGGCCTTGGGTTTCTGACTGCTCTACTCCGAGCCTCAGTGTCCTCATATGTAAATCTGGGGTAATAATTGTTGCACTGTCCAGCTCACAAGGTACCACAGAGAAAGCATTTGTAAACAGAAAAGTGCCCCAGAAATGTGGGTAGTTGTGGCTGTTGTTGATGATGATGATGATGATGATAATGATTTATTAGTTTTCAGCCCAGAGATGTCCAGAGTTGCTCTCCTCTCTACTAGGCCCCCAGATCCTTCTATGAAGCTTCATTGTGGAGTTATTCTGCTACTGGGTTCTTGAATACTGTGCTAAAGAACCACAAGCTTGGATGGCTTCTACCAGGATGGAAAAGCTTCCAGCATGGCCCCAGGGGTCAGGAGAGGGAGGCTCCATTGGAAAGAGCACTGATGCTTTTGGAGTCAAAGTACTCCTGTATCTGCCCTTTAATCCACGTATGGCCTCAAATTCCTCAATTGTAATATTTAAAAAAAAAAAAAAGAGGGTTAGACTAGATGATTTTGAAGGTCATTCTTCCAGATCTGACTGTATTGTCCTACGAACAGACTGTGTCTGCTTTCAGCCAAGCTGAGGATAAGCGAGGGAATAAGTATTTATTCAACACTTTCTGTGTGCCAGGCACTGGGCTAAGCCTATTACGAATATCCTCACAACTTTGTGAGGTAGGTTATGGTCCCTGTTTTTCAGTTGAGGAAATGGAAGCAGACAGAGGTAAGGTAACTTGTCCAGGGGTCACGAAGCTGATGTGTCTGGGGTCAGATTCGAATTCAGATCTTCCTGACTCCAGGCCCACAGAGGTCTTTCTGACTCTAGGCCCGGCACTCTATCCACTGTGCTACCTAGCTTCCTAACGTAGAGAGACTTTTCACTAGTAGGATGGACACTGGTGATGAATTCATTGAACACCCATGAAACCAAGAGAAAAAGACAAAAAAAATGAGAACTCCTTTATATATAAATATTCATGTATGTATATATGTAAGTATATATGTACACATACACATAGATACACACACATATGCACACACATTCATGCATGGAATAGCAATAGTAGGTAGAATTCAGGTTTTATCCAAGCCATATTTGGGGAGAAAAGACAGTCTACATTTACTAATAATTTGTTGTTCAGTTGTTCAGTTGTGTCCAACTTTTCATGACTCTGTGGACCATAGTATGCCAATGCTCTTGCAGGGTTTTCTTGGCAAAGACATTGGAGCGGTTTGCCATTTCTTTCTCAAGTGGTTTAAGGCAAACAGAAGTTAAGTGATTTGCCCAAGGTCACACAGACAGTAGGTATCTGAGGCTGGATTTGAATTCAGGTCTTCCTGACTCTAGGCCCAGTGCTCTATCCACTGAGCCATCTAGCTGCCTCCTGATTAATACTTCATTATGATAAATTAGGTAAGTAAGGGGAAGGGCCATGTCTAACTTATCTCTACTTTACTTACAGAGCTTACTTAGCACAGTGGCTCTCAAATGAAGGCTACCCTAAAAGTTCCTGTTGTACAATTAAATGAATGAAACCCACACCCTGGAGGGGAAAAGACTATGGGTATAGACAATAGATTGATTGGGACACCGGAAATCAGTGATTAAAAGAACAACCCCCAAAAGTGAGGGAGGGGAGAGGAAGGGACCATTGAGGATGCTGCCTCTAATCAATGTCCATCCTCTAGGTTTTCGGGGACTGCAGTCTCTATCTGTGAAGGTTCCTACTTTGTGGCTAAGCTGCTTTCCCTCTGCTTCAGGTGAGTACTTTCCTTGTTCCCCTGGTGGCTGGGTATAAACAAGGAGACAAAGGGGAGGAGGGAAACAAAACCATCTCCAACACACTTCCCGTACCAAGTGAACCTAGAACATCTTCCATTCCTGGAGACACAGTGTGGTGTACAGCAGCCAACACTAGAGCTTCAAATGACCCTGAAGTAGAGATCAGAAGATGGACCTCCCTCCCTCCTTGGCAGAAGATGCAAGGTCTCACATTCATGCATCTACTGTCAGAATCAGAAGTATGCTTCAGTTTGACTGATCTGTTATTTTTCTTTTCTTTTTTACTTTTTGTCATAAGAAATTGTACATTGGGTAGGACAGTTAGGAGGGATATATTTGGAAATCAAGGTTCTAGAAGAGTATAAGCTACCCATTTAAAAAATTTAAGATCTTTTTTTTTTAAATAATACTAGCCCCGAGGGTCATAAGACCTGGTTTTAAGTCTCAGCTTACATACTTAGACACGTATCCCTATGTTATTTTTCAAGTCATTTAAATTTCTCTGAACCTCAGTTTGCTGTTTTGGAAATTGTAGCTAACAATGCTTGCACAACCTATCTCACCAGGTTATTGGGACAATCAGATAACATCATATGTATGAAAGTTTGTTGTAATTTGATAAGCAAGTTGATGAGTGGTTATTATTATTAATCAGCAAGCATTTGTTAACCAACCATTCTAGGCCAGGCCCTGTGCTAGGTGCTTTGGAGACAAAGACAAAAATGAAATAGGTCCTGACCTCAAGGAGCTTATCTTCCATTACAGGAGAAACCACAAACTCATGTAAACGTAAACAGAATAAATACAAGTTAATTTCTGGGAAGGAAAGGATTGTCCTTAATAGTTGGGAAGATCAGAGCAAGGCTCATGTAGAAAGTAGCCCTTGATCTGGGCCCTAAAGGAAACAGGGGGGATTTAATGAAGTAGAGAGCAGAGAGAAGAAGGCAGAAAACCTCTGTTCAGTGCTCATTCATAGATCAATATTGGATCTATTTTACGGGTAAGAAAACTGAGACCCATGGAAAGCTTAAGAGTCTCACAGGTAGTATTACAGACAGAACTCAAACCCAGTACTCTTTCTTCTACCCAGGTGGCAGCTACTATGCACCTTATCAAGACATCACATCTCAAGCTGAAAAATATCTCAGTCCTGAGAACAATGGAGGAAAAATGGGGCACAGACCTCTCCTCATGTCTCAGGGCCCAATGCATTGTAGGGTGATCCCTTCAGTCACTCAGACAGTTATACCAGTCAAACAGGCCACTGGTAGTGCTTAGCTCTCTGAAATCCATGGTGATAACTGGTTTATCTAATACCATTCACAGTCTCCCTAGGAAGAGTCTCAGATTTCTTTTCCCCAAAGGAATCAGTGCTATCAGGCTAGGCTCTGCTAGAGATACCAATTACTCTGTTTTCTCTAGAGGATGACAGTCAGGCTGAAAGGCATACATCTGGCAAGTCAGAGACATGAGATAGCTTGGGAAAACTTGGATAGAGTGCCTGTGGTTCTTAGGATCCCAGATTCATGGACAGTGATAGCTAGCTGGAAGGGCCATATCAGGATACTTAATCCAACCCCTTTATGAGTGAAAGCACTTAAAACATACTACCCACCTCTTGACAGAAAAGTGATGATTACAGGGTGCAGACTGAGAAATATATTTTTGGGAACTGGCCAGTATGGGAATTTGTTTCGTTTAACTGGGCAAATTGTTTGTTTTTGGGTTTTTTCTCCCAATGAGAAGAGAGGAAAAAAATAAAGTTTTGTTCATTGAAAAAATAATAATAAATTAAATTTTTAAAATGAAGGAGCAGAGGCCTAGAGATATGAAGCAATTTATTCAAGGACACACAGAAAAGAAAACCAGGACAATCGTCCAGTTCTCATGACTGCACAGTCCAGAGTTTCTTTCATTATTCCAAGCTGCTTCCTGTCGGGTTGGGTTACCTCCGATGTTGCCTTGGTTCTAGTCACCTCTCTCTGTTGGCAGCCAAGTACATAATAGGTGGAAAGGTTTTAATTACCCCCAGCCCTAGCATCACACCTTGCACACAAAGCAGGTGCTTAATAAATGCTTGTTGGACTGTAGTGGGCTGATCGAAATTAAACGGGTATTAAATGAGAGATCTGGGATTGCAGCCTAAGTCTCTAAAGTTGTTCTTCTGAGGTAGTGTGGTGTGTTTGACAGCCCAGCCCCACTACCCCTTAGTTTTTCCAATCTTGAGCACATCAGCCGGCCTCCTCTGAAGCCTTTAGCTAAAGAGGGGAAAATAGCTTCTTGTCAATGAATGGATGGGAAACGACGGACATTAACCTGAGTCCTCATCCAGCTCCTCCCCAACAAACCGTACATGCAGTGATGCCGAGAGCGGCTGATCAGGAAAGGTCACACCAATATCTAGAAAGAACCAAAATCACGTTAGACCATGACAGGCCTCATCTGGACACTGTGATAGTGAGACAGTGAGTTAGATATCCCTGAAAGTTTTCAAAATGATAATAGCTCTCATTTTTTATAGTGTGTTATTGCTTATAAAACATTTTCCTCACAAGTCTTCAGAGGTTGTTTTTGAAAATGTAATTCTCATTTTACAGATGAATAGACGGAGGGTCAGGGAGTGTTAGTAAGGAAGGAAAGGGAGCAAGCATGTATTAGGTGTCTGGTATGTCCCAGGCACCATGCTAAAGTGATTTACAAATATTATCTTATTTGATTCTCACAGTGACTCTTGGAGGTAGGTGCTATTATTATCCTGCTTTTATAGTTGAAGAAACTGAGGAACACAGAGGTTAAGTGATCTGCCAAGGGTCACACAGTTAGTGATTTAGGATCACAGACTGTTCAAGATTTGTAGGCACTTTAGAATGGCTACAAATGGGCAGAATGCTGTGTGACGTGGCATCGGACTTAGATTCAGGGAACCTGGTTTTAATCCTACCTCTGACAATGACTTCACCTCCATAGGCCTCAGTTTCCTCATTTGTAAATCGAAGGGATTGAGCTAGATGGCCTCCCAAGCCCCTTCCAACTCCAATCCATGGTGCCATACTCTGAATGATAGGGTTCATCTGGGTAGCGAAATAAGAGGGAAGGGGAGGAAAGGACAGGAGGGTCCTTAAGGAAATAAACCAAAGATTCCATAGTACAGAAAAACTCTAGGATTTTTTAATATGCCCCATTTTCCCTTGTTTGGCCTCAATTCCCATAGCCCTTATTCACCACATTTACCTATGTAACAGATGTAGTGCTGTCTTCATCACTTTACGGGTGGGAAACTGAGTCACAGAGAGAGAACCAGAATTCATCAGGGAAATTAGCCTGATTTCCTTTTATGGAGCAATTAAACCACACTGCCTCTATTCAATATTGATCAATATCTGGTACAAATTCAATCATCTTCCCTAGAGGGTTGGTCATTGTTTTTGATGGTTTCTTAGGTCTCCAAATGTATATCTAAGGGGTGGAAGGGGCAAAGGAAAGGAGTGGTTAGCCAGCCAGAAATGTGGATTTCTAAAAATGACAAGACATTTTCAATTTCCCTGGACCTTCACATTGTAGTCTATTTTTCCCTAGCCACTAGAGGTCACCCAACTCTGGCCTTAAATAAGATGCAAAATGTTAGATTCAAAGGGTAATAGAAAATCTAATGTTTCCAGCAACCATACAAACACCAAATGTCAGCAAGAAAACCAGCAGGGCACCAGTGTGGTGTCTACCTCTCTGCCTTAGATTAATCTCTCTATCTCTGTCTCCCTTTCTCTTTCCCCCTCTCCTCCTTGCCCCTTCCCTTCCTTTCCCTTTCCATTCCTTCCTTCTCCCCTCTGATCCCCTCTCCTCCCATTTCCTCTCCTCTTCTGTTCTCTTTTTTATCTTCTCTGTCTCTCCTCGTCTTCTCTCCTCCCCTTTCTGCCTTTCTGTCTCTCCTCTCCTCTCCTGTCCTCTTTCTGTTTTTCTCATCTCTGTCCCTCCCACTTTCTATTACCCTTAAATGGACCTCTCTCCCCTTCTCCTTTAACCTCCACTCTCCTCCCTCAATATTTTCTCTCCTGCTTCCTCATTTGCTTTTTTGCTCCATTAATCATGGCCACTCCCATCCCCACCTATCTTTTCTCAGGTGTCAACCAGAATCTCTGGCCTATGTCTTGTGGGAAAAGGCCTGCAGGTTGGGCTGCTTCCAGAAATTCCTGGGCTATGTGCTGCTTTCTGTCGCCTGCTTTCTGCACCCAGTGCTGGTCTGGCATGTGACCATCCCAGGTATGACCACGGACAGGGATTGATAGGGATACCACCTACAGAGCACCCAATAAAGTGCTCTTAAAGTACAAATGACTGAACATCCCAGACTCTCCAGTCACAGCCCAGAGACCTTAGGTGACTGTTTGGCTGAGGTCCCTGGGGATGGAGAGAGAGCCAGTATGGCTCGTCCTGACTAAATGGAGGATTCTGAGCAAGGGCTCATCTTCCTTAATGGAGAAGGCCAGAGTCCTCTGGGAGCCTAAAATAAAAATAGTATCTTAGTGGGTAAAAGTTTTGACTCAATATTGATCCTAACCTTCCACAGGATTTACTGTTCTGGTAATTACCAAAATTAAGCTAATCACTAGAATATATATATATATATATTTTAGGAAGTCAGGAAAGAAAAATCAGATTTGAAAAAAGTCACAACCACCACCCTCACCACAATAATAACAACAATTTCCATTTTCTTTTTTTTTTTGTTTTGTTTTTTAGTGAGGCAATCGGGGTTAAGTGACTTGCCCAAGGTCACACAGCTAGTACATGTCAAGTGTTTGGTCTGAGGCCAGATTTGAACGTAGGTCCTCCTGACTTCAGGGCGGGTGCTCTATCCACTGTGCCACCTAGCTGCCCCAACAATTTCCATTTTCAGAGCCCTTTAAAATTTACAAAGTACTTAGTCACCAGTTCTTCTAGGCACTAATAACCCTTGAGATTTCTCTTCATGTAGTCAGCTTGGAGAGTTCTCCATGCCAGGACCTCCAATTAGACTTTTTAAAAGTGGACAGAGATTTCTTAGGGCAGTAGAGTGTAGATTTAGAAGTGGGATAACTTCATCAATTTATGGATGAGGAAACTGAGGCCCAGGGAGGTTAAATTATTTCCCTGAGGCCATATGGATAGTAAGTTTTATAGACAGGATTTGAACCCAGGTCCTAAGTTCCAAATGCAGTGTTCTTTCTACTGTACCAATCAATCAATAAATATTTACAAAGCACCTACTATGTGTCAGGCACTATGCTAAGCTCTGGGGTTACAAAAAGAGGCATAAGTCAGTCCCTGACCCCAAGGAGCTTACAAACTAATTACCATGTGCTTCCTTTATATCTGAGTATAAAAATCAGCTACTAATAAGGCTATTATATGTGTGTGTGTGTGTGTGTGTGTGTGTATATATATATATATATGTGTGTATATATATATATATATATATGCAGGATGACCCCAAGCCAAATGTGTCTTTGGGGCCCTCTTTACTCATTCTCTCACCTCTAAGCCAGGAGGGGAACCACCTAGCCTGTAGGCATGCTATCACTCAGAGACATAATTCTAACATGTGGAGAAGCAGTAAAATTAGCTTGTTAATATAAATTCAGTTTGAGAGGTCTGCGAGAAAGACCTCAGACTCAAGAACACAAGGCCGCATGGAGGCCAGTAGACTTCAGGACACTGGGAAATTGATGTTGAGAAGTGGCTAAGTAGGGATAAGGAGGGACCATTCTAGAATATATCCATTGGATGAAAAAGCTCATAATCATATAGTTTCCTATTTTACTAATTATTCACATTGACTAGGTGCCAAGCTTGATTGCTTTTACCTGCTAGAATATAAATAATGGCAACTCCCTATGAAGGTCAGCACCCTGAGACCAAGCCCCAGCTGCTAGACCCTAGTTACAGCTCTATCATTACTAACTTCCTTGGTGTAAAGGAGTTAGTGAATGAGTTTGAATCCCAGTTCAGCTGCTTATCAGCTGTGTGACATTCAGGGAGTCATTTGACCTCTCCAGAACTCAGTTTCCTCATCAGCAAAATGAGGAAGCTGAAATAAACAGTCTCTATGGTCCCTTATATCACTAATATTCTATTAGCCTAGGAGTTCTAGTGAATAGAGCTATCCTGATACAGGTCAGCACCTTCTCAGCAATTTATAGTCATCAATATTAGCCTAGACAGGTTCAATGATTTTCCCAGGATCACACAGCTAGCATGTGTTGGAGGTGGGACCTGAACCCAGGTCTTCCAGATTCTGCCCAAAGGGGCATTAGTACCTCCGAAGGATGTTAATGAAAGCACCTTGTAAACCTTAAAGTTCTCTAGAAATGGATGCTGTTATTACAGTAAAAGTCAGCTCTCTATCCACTAAGCCACATTGCCTCTATGGTGAGAAAACAACTTTGTAAACCAAGAGTTTTTAACCTTTTTTGTATCATGGACCCCTTTGTCACTCTGGTGAAATCTATGAGTCTCCTCCTTAGAACAATGTTCTTAAATTCATCAAATAAAATACAAAAGGTTACAAAGGAAACCAATTATACTCAAACACAGTTATCAAAATACATGTTTTGAAGTTCATGGACCTCCAGGTTAAGAACTCTAGCCTACTGGGAGCTTCCATGACGAAGGAATGTGATGAGGAGACGATGCTTTGTACCATAATCTATTAAGTTCCTTATGCACATCAGGTATTATTATTTTCAGCTCAGCATGAGGAGGGGTAAGTCCCTCCTTTGCTGAGATCTGAATTACTAGGTAGCCATACTAATGGAAAAAAAATTTCAAATGAGGGCCCTTGGGGATGGCCACTAGGTGGGGGATGGCCCCCGAGGGTTTATGCTTGGAGAGACTTTGACTTTCCACTGTGCCATTTCCAGAGTGGCTGAAGCTCACTGTGTTTTCCAGGGTCTATGCTGATCATCACTGGCCTGGCATATTTCCTCCTGAGTAAACGTAAGAAAAACAAAGCTAGCTGCACCCCAGAACAGTACACAGACCCCTCTGCTAGCGCTGTAAGCACCACAGGATACGGGGATACCGAGCAAACGTACACCTTCCACAGCTCCTTCAGGGAAGGGCCGACCTCCCTCTTTGGCCACATGAAAAGCATTTTGAAGGGGAACAAGAAGTCTCCCGCAGCCAGGCCCCCAGACACACTGATGGAGCTGGTGTTGGATCCAGCTGATTTACTACCTGGAAAGAAGCAGGTGCACTTCGAAGAGAAGCTGGTCAGAATCATCCCCTCTATCACCGAGAGCCTGGACGACAGGGACAGCGAACCGGAGGAGACCACCTCTGATACTGTGCCCATCATTCCCCCTCCAGAGGCCCCTCTCCTTATGTCTTCCCTCACATCCACGGGCTTGTTTTGAAGAGCATATAGAGTTCTCCTTTCATTATTCATCACAGAGGGCCTGAAAGGGTACCCATCCCCTAGGGGGTCCCAAAGAAGGTTCCATCTCATGTTACCACCCTTCTAAGAGCCTTTGAGTTCCAAAAACTCTCCAAGGAATTCATGAGACCTAACAAGGATTTGAGTTTCAGAGAGTCCCCAAGGAACTCATGGAATCTCCAAGGAAGACCCTGTAAGATGACACAGCAACTCTTGATGTATGTTAGTAAGGCTCATTTCCTCTCATATTATGGGTGGGCTGAGACCTAGGAACATAAAGTAACTTGCTAAATGGGTAGTCCACATTTCCAAGTCAAGAACAATGCTCTTTCTATCTCCAAGAACTTTACATTATAGGCTTTTGGTTTTGCTTTTATTTTTTCAAGAGAAGCCCTTCACACTCACTTCCCACAGAAGGGGATTGCGCAGAATGACAGAATTCTCTCTGCAAAGGGACTGCTGGATTGGGCCCAGAGACTGAATTGCCTTGCTGTATCCTACCTTTTTTTTTTCCCATGCATTGTACACAGCCCTGTCTGTTACCTCATGGCTATTGATAAAGACTATATCCAGTCCCTTAGTCCAGAAATAGTCCAGCATCTAGAGTAGCCCTGTATTGGTCATCTAAGATTATATGTCTCAGCTGTAGTTACCCTGGGAATCCATGTGCCTTTTGAACAAGCTCAAAAGACATACAATCTTGTTGAATTTTGAGTCCATCAACAGAATTTATTAAGTGCGTCCTGTATGTTCTGGTGTCATGAAAAGTTATAAAGGAAGCACAGTAAAAGTTCACTTTTGAAAGTTGGCCACCACATGTTGAATTGTGGTGGCTTTGGTGGCCCACGAAGAGGACAAATGTCACTAATTAGTTTTAAGTGGGAGGGAAAAAAAAGTCTGAATAAGGGAATGAGAATTTCATAACAATTCTCAGGTAATTCCCACAGCACCCATTCTGAGAATATTTTTCCAGTTTCCAAAGAGATGTGGGAACCTTGGAAACTAAGAGAAACTGAAAGCATTGAGAATTCATCTGCTGTGATGTCATGACACAGAACATCAATTCTAAGTGTATTACACGAGCAAAGTTCAACACAGAGAGAGACGCTACAAAAGCTCCTGGGACTCTCGGGGCTTTGGGGTTGGGCTTGGTGGCCTCTGGGGTCACTTCTGACTCTGGCCTTCTGTGATTCTGTAATAAGGTCTCTTCATCACGTCCTGGATAAGAGGACAATCCTGACATTAGCAAATATTCATAAGGAAAGGAAAGATGATGTCTTTTAGGAGCTCACAACAGCCCAAGAAATTAATCCCATTGATTAACAGCATATCAGGTAGGGGCAGCTGGGTGGCCCAAAGGATAGAGCCTTGGAGGCAGGAACCCACTACTCCCCAGTTCAAATCTGGCCTCAGGCACTTACTAGCTGTGGGACCCCGGGCAAGTAAAAAAAAAAAAAAAGACACACACACAAGACATTGTCGAGTAAAGGTCTCTAAGAAGGTTTGTTTTAATAATAATTTGTAATTAACATTTCAATTGTATATAAATATATATTCTAAGGTTCTAAAAAGCAGTTTATCTGCTTTTGATAAACAAAAACATCTCTCCCACAATTCTGTTTGCACTATTAATTTGCACTTTCTTCAGAGGCTTAGTAAACGGAAGCCAAGGTCAGCCTAGTCTCTTTAGGTGAGAAAGGAAAAGTAAAGAGAGGGAGGAAGAGAACAGAAGGTGAAAAGAGAAAAGAAGGTGAGCAATGTGGGACAGGATGGGATGGAGCAGCGGAGCTGGGGAGAGAGCTCAGGAAAAGGAAGATGGGGCATGAGTGTTTGAGGGACAAAGCGTACCAGGCTATCTGCTCCAGTCTACATTCCTCTGCGGCCTAGAAGGGTCGTGAGCCCTTGCTAGTATCCTGGATCAAGGCCATCCCTCAGGACTAGAAAGTGCATTGTCTAGGCCAGGGGTGGGAGCCCAGGCATCTAATGCCACTTTTGTTTCTAATTAGCACTGTGGTCTTTGCAAAGTCACCTCCCCTCCCAATCTCAGTTTCTTCATCCAAAAGGAAGGTCATAGGTTAAATGACTTTGCAGGTCCCTTGCGGCTCTAAATTTATGATTCTCATAAATTTCACAGTAATCAAATCTAAATGAATCTAGTTGCATTTAATCTTAGAGGAAAACAGTGCAAATGCACATGAGAACTCCATTTTCCCTGATAATGAGGATCTGTATAGTTAGAGGGAAAAAACAAACTAAAATACTGGTAGCAAAATTGTAGTACAGGAGTGTGTTGAATTTTGAAGTGGGTTACCCATCACAGATGGTCCCCGTTGGGAAAGATCTCCAAAGAAGGCCCTTCCAAGGGAGCAAACCATCACCATGTCATTCCCAAGATGTGATAGAAGGAAGCATGCATATTTCAAGCACTTAAAAGAGCCTGGATGGAATAGTAGGTGGAGGGTTGGCCTCATTGCTGGGAAGAGACAAATTCAAGTCATTTTTCCTCTGACAGGCAAGCTGCTTGTGTGACCCTAGTCAAGTCACTTCACTTCTCAGTAACTTAGGTAACTCGATAAGGCTATAAGTTGCATAGAAGGTGCTGACCTCTCTTAGTAGAGAGAGTTTCCTTAATCAGGTATCCCCTATAATGAAGATACCACAGGTCTATTATTATTCCTAGCCCTCAAAAGCCAGATGTTACAAGTATCCAGCAGTTGAACTCAACTTCATGTCAGTACCTCTGTATTGTTTTCTCTGAATTTAGCCAGGACTGGTTGTTGTTGTTTGTCCTTTGTTCTCGAAGAGGACCAATTACCTTGCGAAACTGGACTCTGGAGGGGAAAGGCTTAATGTGGGGGGAGGGGGAGTTATTCTCAGTCTGTCATGCTAAGTTTTAATAAACACTTGAAAAACAATGGTTGTGGATACATCTTTGAGCTGGCATCTGTAATGGAAAAAAAATTTCAGTAACAAAACATCTGGGAGATTGGCAAGTTCCAAGACTGGCAAGTTCCAAGTCAGCTTCCTGAACCATGTCAATCGAGTGGTCATCAAGGATTTCTCGAGCATCTACTTGGTGCAAAGCCTTAAAACACCTGCTTGAACACCTGTGATCTTGTCCATTTTAGCTGAGCTGAACTCCCAAACATGAATCTTAGCTGCCAAATCAAAGAGGAAGTGATGATTTCATGCAACTGTTTTTCAGAGTTAAGCCTATGAGTAATTGTATGGGACAGAAGCTTGTTGAACCTGGAGACAAGAGGGATAAGGTCAGAACAGTCATCACAGAAAAGGGAAGTATTTGTTGACAAGCTACAGGCACTTTGGCATGTTGTCATGCTCACTGGTAGCCACAAAAGGTAAGTAGAGGCAGGCATAACTAGGGCAGGGTAATTGGGGTTTAGGAGTGCTGGAATTTAGAGGATGCTTGAAGAACTTCAACAAGATGGAAACAACTGAGTTTTGCATTGGTTGGCAAAAATAATTAGTTAAAAACAGGAATCTACAAAAGGATCCCAATTTCTTCTCTACGGGGCTAGAGCCTAGCTGGCTCACTAGATAAAGTGTCGACCTTGGAGAGGAGGAGACCAGAGTTCATAATCCTGCCTCAGGGACTTACTAGTTATGTGACCCCAGGCATGTCACCACCTCTTTCAGACTCAGTTTCCTCACCTGTAAAATAAGGATAATTATCGCCCTTACTTCATAGGGTTGTAGTGAGGATCAAATGTGGTAATACATGGAAGGCACTATGCAAACCTTAACATGCTATATAAATGCTAGTTATTATTATTATTATTATTATATCTCCTTTCTGGCCACCCCCAAATGTTGATTTGCTGATGTAAATTCTTACTCCTGCCCTGGGGGTAAAAAAAAATCAAATTACGACCCTGCGGGTAGGCATCATTAAACCCACTTGTTAGGTGAAGGATCCAAGATTTAGTTAATTCCTGTGACTCGCTTCCTAGCCCAGAATTATAAAGAGCATTTCCAGAATTCCAAGTCCAATGCGCTCCCTCTATGAGTTTAGGAAGAGAGGCCCTACTTCGTAAAAATGTAAGGGGCTATATTTATATATATGTATATATAAATGGCCACTATTTACGTCATGCTTTCAATCTGTAAGCCAGATGATGCAAAGTCTGATTCTCCTCTGGCCAAGCTTTAAAGCATTTGCCCACTCTGTTCAAGGGTTGCAGTCACCACAAACCCTCCACCTAACTTTCCACTTGAAAGAGTATCACCACCTTGATGGGGAGGAATGTCAAAGGTCATCTAGTCCTACCTTGTCATTTTACAGGCAAACTAAGTGAAGCTAAAGCTAAGTCAGTGACTGACCCAAGGAGATACAGGCAGCAAGCATCAATGGTGGGATTCAAATCCAGGTTCTCTCACTTGAGAGCCAATTCCCACATTAAGACAATCAAAAACACTTTCTGAGAGGTAGGTAGACACAGATTATTTTACAGGAGAGGAAACTGAGGATCAGAGAGGTTAGGCAAAGATTTAAACTGAAATCTGACTCCAAGTCACCTTTCCGCAAAGTCACAATCCTCTAAACCACGTAGAGTGTATTTCATTCTTTCATCAGCATTATTTCCCAATGCTAGAATTTCTCAAATAAGTTCTCTCTGTGTGTAATTAAATGTGAAAAAAAAAACAACCTGTAGATGTACCACACACACTCACACCCAGAGAGACACACACAACCACACCCAGCCAGCTAAAGACCTCTGAGCTTCTGGGAATATAATCTTAATTGCAATTTCCTTCCTCCAAACTAATACAACTCTCTGGCCATCCTTGCTTCACCCTGATCCTCCAGCTGTTGGAAAAGTCTTTAAATCAACAGGGAACCAGAAGGCCTAGATGATTATCCTCTTCATGCCAAGGCATTTGGAGGGAGAAGGGCCCAGTCCTGGAGAAGTAAACAGGAATTTCCTAAGTGATAAAGGGCTCATGTGACCCCTCACAGCTGGCCTCTGACATCTTCCCACTTGATTGTTCAGAAGGATGGGAAACATAAATTTAAAACATTTAGAAAATCAAACAATAAGAGCAGTGTTTAAATGAACTGTTTTGTTTGAATTTTATGCTGAGCATTTTTTCAAAATGAGAAGGGCTAAAACTCTTTTGAGGTAGAAAGCTGAGCATGTTGAGAGCAAAGAGGTGGAGACTTTAGTCTAAGTCTACCAAATCCCAACCATGTAGCCCTCAGCAAGTCGTTTCACCTCTAGAGGTCACATTTTCCTCATCGATCAAAAGGGGAGATTGGAGGAGATGATTCCTAGGCAGGGGTGTTCTGAAGCTATCTGGGGGCCAATTGTTAAATGTTCAGTAGGAGCATTTACACTTGGAAATCAGCGAATGCTACAAATCTGGGCTCGATGCATTATTTTGTTGATTATTGATTACCTCAAGACTTAAGAAAATGATGGAGAAAATGTTAATATTTCTTATTAAATTTAAAAGTGATTTGCGTATACATTTTTTTTCAGAGCTGCTTGTTAAAACATGTAATGGCACATCACTGACTAAGCTCCCTTTCAGCTCTAGCATTCCATGAGTCAGTTAAAAGACCAGTATCTGAGAGGCTGCATGGCCTCAGAGTCAGGGCCTTCTAGGTTTAAATCTGGTGCATACTGCTTCTGTGACCCTGGGAAAATTAGTTATTCTCTCAGGGACCCAGGCATCTCCTTCAGATTCTCAGTGGTAGCAATATGGTACCAATCTGCATCAGTGGAGGGAATTTCCTCATCAAGAATTCACACCACTGATGAAATTATATGTCCTGTCCAAAAACACAAATAACAGAATCATAGAATTTACTGGGAAAAGGGACCTTAGAGATATAACCTAGTCCAACCACCTTATTTTATGGAAGTGAGGGCCATTTGGGAGATGGACTCAGGTCACTGTGTGAAGCACTTTATAAAGATTATCTCATTGGATGCTCACAACAACCCTGAAAGGTGGGTGCTGTGATTATCCCCATTTTGCAGATGGGGAAATTGAGGCAGGCACCAGTAAAGTGACTTGCTCAGAGTCACACAGCCATCAAGTGCCTGAGGCTGGATTTGAACTCAGGTCTTCCTAACTCCAAACCCAATGTTCTATATGTTGTATCACCTCACTGCCTAGGTATATACTCTCCTTGACAGCAGGGACTCTCTTTTTTTGCTTGTATTTGTATTCCTTGTGCTTAGCATGATGCCCAAAACATAATAAGGGCTTAATAAATACTATTCTATGCCTGTCCAACGTGACTTACCCTAGGTCACACAGATAGGAACCTCAGACCAAGAATGCAAGCATAGGTCTTCTGGCTCAAAATCCAGTACTTTTTTCCTCAATGCCAAGCTCTGAGCTAAGTCAAAGCTGGCTTAGTGAATATCAGATAATGATT